CACCCCAGCCCACCCAAGCACAGAGTCCAGGAGGGTGAGGGCTTTCTTGGTGCAGTTTTCTCCTTGCCCACGCTCTCACAGACAACATTTCACAGATTTTCTATCCAAGTCTGAATAACAACTTTCAGACTTCCTGGCATGGCAGGGCAGTGTCCTTTTCTCAGTCCTTTCACACAGGGGACAACTGTCCTTTTCTAGCAGGATAATTATGTTCCTAAAAGGTGACTGATTGCATCTATCAGCTTCAGAGCCTCAGCCATGACATGAATTTTAGTGAGCCCTTCTAGAGGGCTCACCAAGGACAGGATGGATTTCAGAGCCTGTGAAAGGAGCCTTGCACTGACTCTGCTCCAGGATTTTCTGTAGGGCAGGAGGCACAGCCAAACTTACCCGGCTTTCATTGAAATTACTTTCCTTCAGTGCCAAACTCTTCCAGAAAAGCAGAATATGGTCGTTTTCAGTGATGATTTTTAAGGCGTCCGGTGCAGACAGGGGGACTGCAAATGGGAAAATGTGGCAGCAGGTGAAGGTTGTAGCACTGATGGCACTTTTCTCTTACACAAATGGAGTAAATTCTGAAAGTTAGTGGAGTTTTCTAGGGATCAGCACAATGCTTGGAAAAGGGATGTGCTGGAGGAGAGGATGCAGGAGGGAATTTTCACTGGTAGGGCTGTGATGGTACTTGGTGATGTGCACACAGCCCAACTAGTGCCTTTCCCCTCTCCATTTATCAGGAGGAAAACATTTGATATCATTGGAGAAGCTTCCTCTCCACTGCTGTTGTTTTGGGGTGTAACCACCTCCCAAAATTGGGCTTTGCCTGCGGGAGAGGACCAAGAGCTGCAGGAACATTCCTGCAGCCTCAGGATGGGCGCTGTGTCCCTCACCTGTGTTGATCTTCATGCTGGACTCCTTGCTCATGTTTCCCAGCTGGACAATCACGTGGTATTTCCCTCCTGGCTCCAGTTTCTTTATGGTGTACTCCACCGTGCTGTTCCGGCTTTTCACTTTGTAGATTTTATCTGTTTTCCTCACCAAATCTTTAACTGCCACGGCATAGAGCTGGAGGGGGAGGAAATGGATGGAAAAAAATCTCCTTTTCCTGCAGAATTTCAGCTAAACAGTGGTAGGACATTAAACAGGGTGGGTAAAATTTGCTTTAAACCAGGGCTGAGCTTTACAGAAAGCCTGGGGAGCAAAATTCCAAGCCTTTCTCTGGATCTCTGCCCAAAATCAGCATTTACTGATACAGAAAATTACTGATATAGAAAATCAGCATTTACTGATACAGAAAATTACTGATACAGAAAATCAGCATTTACTGATACAGAAAATTACTGATACAGAAAATCAGCATTTACTGATACAGAAAATTTCTGCTACAGAAAATCAGCATTTACTGATACAGAAAATGCAGTTAGTGGAACAGATGAGAGCAGGAGGAAAAGCTCAGGCTGTATTTCTCAGTGAATCACAAGGATGCAACACAAACCCCTGCTCTGTCAGAGTTTCCAGCTCTGCTGGGAAGGTTTCTACCTCCAAAGCTTTGCTGTTAAAGCCTCTGGAGCAGAATGGGAGGAGAAAGCTTGCTGATATAAAATGAGTGGCCTTCAATGGAGCGAGACCTGAGTGTATTCCAGTGTGGCAGAGAACAGAGCTGGGCTTTGTTGAGGCAGGAGCCGTGCCCCAGCACAGCCTTACCCTCCTGGGCAGAGCCAAAGCCCAGAAAGGTGTTTTGGCTCATGCCCAGGGCTGGTTTTAGACTTGGGCAGCAGCAGATATCCCAGACCTGGCTCTTTTTTGTATTACACTCCTGACCATGGCCAGCAGGGAGGACACGAAGACGTTGGAGGTGTCAGCACTTTGATTTTATGCGGAGCATAGACCTGACCTCAGGCTTTCTCCAGCAGAAGAAAATGAGACAGAGTAAAAAAAATTCTGCAGAGTAGAAATCCATTTTGATTTAGGTGAAATGTACATCTTTAAGTCTGTGTAGCCTGACTGCAAGGCCCAAGCTCAAGGGAAACTGCTTCAATGAAGGACAGAGGTAAGGGGGGGAGACAGAGAGTGATAAAGAGAGACAGAGAGACTGCTGTGAGAGCAGGTCAACCTGACATAAGAATTCTTTCTAATAAAGAAGAGCTAGCAGCAAATGTCACGCAAAATTCGTAAAAATGAATATGCACAAACCTATTGTGAAATTGTATGCATATGTATTTGAGAGAGGGATAAAAAAGGGACCTGAAAGTTCCCTTTTTGGGAACCTGAAGTTCCCAAAAGTACACATCTTTTAAAGAAAGTAATCTCCACATGCGTCCAGCACTGTAATAACAAACATACCGTCATTACAACCTTCACGAAGTTGTAGTTTTTAGCTATTTCCACAAAAAAAAGGCAAGGATTTGTGTTTGGGGCAGAATTTAGCGTGCACAGGGCCAGCAGGAGGCTCTGTGAGGGGTTACCATGTCCTGGTCGGGCGAGTCGTAGGGCGATTCCCACTTGATGACGGCGAACGTCTTGCCGGTGCGCACGGCGTGCAGGTGGCGCGGCGGCAGCCGGTTATCCGGGATCATCTTCACCACCACGGAGTCGGACGGGGGCCCTTGGTAGGGAGACACCACCCGCACCTGGGAGGGAGGCACAGAGGTCAGGGCAGCGTCCTGGGGGAGCCGGGGGCGGGCAGAGGGAGGAGGAGGAGGAGGATGGGAGCCCACCAGGAACAGGTACTGCTCGTCGCGCTGCACCAGCACCGTGGCGTTGTGCGCGCTGGTGGTGCTGTTGTGGGGGCTCCTGTACAGCTCCAGGAAGGACGTGGCGTAGAAAATTCCATAGATCTGAGGAGGAAAAAGCACAGCAGGGCTTGGCACCACCCAGAGCATCCCCTGGCTGCTGTGGGAAATGGATTTGTAGGGAATTCTCAGAGTCTGACAGAAGGTTTACGTGGCGCCTATCTGTGTGTAAAACTTGAGATAAGAAATGTTGACTTAGAAATGTCATGGGATAGGATGGATATGGTTGGGAGAGAAACGGAGCTAGAAACAGGTATTGTTGAGAGAAAAAATGGAACTAGAAACAGATATTGTAGAGACAGAAATGGAGGTAGAAACAGATATTGTCAAGAGAGGAATGGAACTAGAAACAAATATTGTTGAGAGAGAAATGGAACTAGAAATAGATATTGTAGAGAGAGAAATGGAGCTAGAAACAGATATTGTTGAGAAAGAAATGGAACTAGAAGCAAGTTCTAAAGGATGGTTTTATAACTAAGACTAAATACAAGGAAGAAATGTTGAGTTAGAAATGTCATGGGCTAGGATGGATATGGTTGGGAGAGAAATTGAGCTAGAAATAGATATTGTTGAGAGAAAAATGGAGCTAGAAACATATTGTTGAGAAAAAAATAGAACAAGAAACAAGTTTTAAAGGATGGTTGTCTACATAAGACTAGATACTTTGGAGAAATGTTGAGTTAGAAATGTCATGGAATAGGACATATTTTTGAGAGAGAAATGGAATTAGAAACAAGTTTTAAAGGATAGTTTTGTATATAAGACTGGATACTTTGGAGAAATAGGACTATGAAAGATGAACTGTAGTAGGATTTATGAGGGGTAATTTTAGATTATTGGTTTTAAGGTATTTACAGTGTGGTGTGGTAAAAGTTGATAGGTTAAGAAATGTTTATAATGTATTGTAATTAGGAAATACAATTCTGTCAGACTTTGAGAATTTTCTACAAATCCATTTGCCACTGGCTGCCCATTTTAGCGGCATGAAGCAAAGACCCTTTTCCATCTGGACCCTTTTCCTGCTTTTCCCTCTGTCTTGCCCAAGTTCAATCTGCCCACTTTCCTTTGAACTCCCAACCCAAAACCCCTGAGCTCAGTTTGTAACAGCAGCTGATCCAAAGGCTGCTGGAGCATTGTGCTGTGTTTGAGCCCCTTCTCACTGCAACAAACAAGAGGCCTTGCCTTGTTTCTGTTTAAAAGGCAGGAGGTTCTTTCCCCCATCATCCCCAACATTTTCAGTGCCTTGGAATTCAACCCAAACAAATTATCTTGGTTGCAGGGGGGTTTTGAGCTGCTCTGAGGTTCTGAGGGAAGGGTTGGTGCCTTACCACATTCCTGGGTCCTGTCCAGCTGCATTCCACGGCCGTCTGGTTGATGGCCTTGGCCTTGAGGCTGGGGGACACTGGCCTTGTGCCACTGGTCACCACGTGCACAAAGGACAGAGGGCTGTCACCCAGCTCTGTCTTAGCCCAAGCAGAAATTTCATAGGGGGTGTGAGCTGTCAGATTGGCCACTGAGCAAGAAGAGAAAGGGGCACTGTTAGATGAAGCAAAAAACAGCAAGGGTGTGAGCACGAGGGAAGGGTCAGCATCACAAACAGACAGGAGCCTGCCTCTCCTGGGCTGTACTTTCATGACTTTGCAGTAATTTCCTTTATACCAAAGCATTTGATACTCTGGAATCCAGCCCAGCCTTGCTTTTTTGTGCCTGGATGATTTCACAAATCCACACTGAGATTTTCCCAAACCAGAAATGTATTTAACAGGGACATGGGGACATGTGTTGTATGCAAGCCCAAGAAATCCTTGTCCTGTTTCTGCTCCCTTTGGCAGATTAAAAATGGAACAACAAACAAAACCCCATGTGATGAGAAAGGACTGGTGCAGCTCTGGGGGTAAATCCCAAATCTGCTTTGAAATCTCAACGTCCTCAGAACAGAGAATTTGCTGCTTTGTCCTGTCCAGATTTAAACAGAATTGTTTAAACAGAGCTACTAGTAGCAAAAAAGAAATACAACAATCCTATAACCTCTCATAAATCTTTCTGCTTAGTGTTGACCAAAGCAAAGCTTTCTATTTTGAGCAGAATTTACCTTTTTGGATGGACTTTTCTCCTTCTATAACCAGAGTCCTTTGTTCCTGCCTGTGGCTATCGAATGTCCAGTAGATGTTGACCACGTAGCCACTGACCTGTCAAGGCCAAGGACACAGAGCCATCAGCTCAGCTGGTGCACACAGGGAACCAGGGCTACTGTCAGACCCCTGACAGTCCTTGCATTGTATTTTCCATCCCAATTAAGAGCCCCAGGGCAGTCTGGGAGCAGGAAGAAATGATTTGGCAACATAATAATTGGTAATTGCAATGCTTCAGTGGGTGACAGCTTCTCCCAGCCTCGATTCACCAATTCCCCAGCTCAGATGGAAAGGGAAAAACTCTTACCTTGATATTCGTGGTCATTTTTAGGCTGAAACTTACGGAGTCCTCAGTGTAGCTCTCAATGTGGATGACAGGGGGAGGAATGACTGGGAGGAAACAGAGAAAAGACCTGTTAGTACAGCACAAAGAAATAAGAATATTTCTTGAGAGGGGACAGATAAAATACAGATTTTTTTGTTAAAAGCTCCCAGAACAGGACATCCCAACCTTGCCTAAGCCAGTCCCCCTCAGAAAAGACACTGATTTTTAACTCCAGCACTGAAAAGCTGCTTTATCTGTGCCTTGCTCACTGCAGGCTGGAGCTGGAGGGGTCTGGGCAAAGGGATTTCCCTCTGAACTCAGCAGGGTGAGCTCCTATCCCAGGAAACAGCTCCTGCCTTTCCAAGGAGCTGCTGAGCAACATCAAGAGCTATCAGCTAAGCATTCATACAAAACCTGAAGTCAGAGCTGTTTCTGTTCCTTCCACCTCTGTTTTTCAAACCATCAGGTAATTCACATTATCTGGACCCTGCACTTTGAGCAGCCTGGTGTTTTCTTTCCCTTCTTTCATCTGACAAATTAGCTGACAATTTTGATGCAGGGACATAAGTTGGGATGGAAAACTTGGCATGAATACAAAGGACTTCAAAAGGCTTTTCTTAAAAAAAAAAAAAAAAACAGGTTGGGAAGGAAATATTTACTGTGCTGTTTGAGTTTCTCTGCTGTGATGTTGTGATAGTTCTTGGGAGCTGTGGTTGTTTTTTATGGTCTGAACCTGCAGGAGGAGCCACAATAATTGTGACCTAAGAGGGAGAAGGATGAGCCAGCGTCCTTTTAGAGTCAGAGTGATGGAGTTGGTAATTTCTTGTCTATCTGGAGGCAGAATTTGGCCTACAAAAGTCTGAGGAAATTTGTCTGCAGAGGGAGGACAGGCTCCTGCTCAGTTCCAGAGCAGCACATCCATCCCCTGTGCAAGGAAGAGGCAGTGACCCCTCCAGACAGAACTCTGAGGCAGCTCAGGCTGAGAGAAAAATTCACTTTTTAGAGGCCACTTTTAACAGCAAAGCTGTGAAAGGCTCAGCAGGGAGAATAAAGGCCGGGGAGGTGGCTCTGGATGCTGCTGCTGGTGTTTGAGGCTGCTCCTCTGCCTTGTGGCCACCCAAACAACATTTACCTTTGCCTTTGACCGTGGTGATGGACTTGGATTCACTCCAGTTTCCCACCCCTCGGCTGGTTACTGCAGCGACCTTTGGAAACCAGAGGGAGAGGGACCATGAGCAACATTTCACAGTGCAAACACAGAGGGGAGGTGAGAGCAAGGTTACAGACCTGGCGGGGCTCCTGGGAAAGGGACTTGGAAGCAAACAATGGCTTAATTACTCGGCAATAAAATGCTTAATGCAGAGATAAAGCCGAGTGCTTAAAGTCAATTAAAGGGATCTAAGAGGAGGGAGGTGCAGCCTCTTTGCAGATAACTGCTCTCTGATGGGATCTTTGAGGAGCCCATCGAGATAAGGAGCTGGGGACTCCACGGGCCATAAAGTGGGTGAGAGCCAGGCCAGGGAAGAACATGCAAGGCCTGAAATGCTTCCAAAGATTTATCTGGGGATGGGTTGTGTTGGGAAGGAATAGCATGGGAGGAAAGAAAAACACAGATTTGGAGGAGGGGATTCATCCCCCAAGAGCTCAGGAGGATGGACAATGGCAAAGCACTCATTTCCCAGGGCTCACTGTGCAGACTTTTCATTTCCTTTCCTTATTACTTCTGTCTATAATTACCCAGCCTCTCCCCTGTGCAAACATTCCCCACAGGCAGAGCTGCTTCTTTTCCCACTGATACACCAAGGACCCAATTTATCTCTGGCCCACATCCAGTGAAACTGCAGTGACATTGGAATGGGCAATTAGCAGGGAGGATTTTGTAATCCAGCCTGGCCTTGTGGGACACAGGAGCAAATCAAGGGCCTTGGAACTGTAGACATTAGCAGTGGTGCTGTGGGTTGGCATTAAAGAGCAGGGCTTTAACAAGATTTTTTTGTAACAAAATATTTTTTTTAGCAAGTTTTTGGTACTGTGCAGGACTTAGGCCACTCAGGAATGAGAGTTTACTTAGAGGGAGCTTTGGAAATACTTTGAGAGGGAGCTTTGGAAATACTCAGAGAGCTTTGGGAATACTCATTATGAGAGGGAGCTTTGGAAATACTCTGAGAAAGAGTTATGGAAATACTCTGAGAGAGAGTTTTGGAAATACTCTGAGAGAGAGTTTTGGAGATACTCACTATGAGAGGGAGCTTTGGAAATATTCTGAGAGAGAGTTTTGGAAATACTCTGAGCACTTTGGAAATGCTCTGAGAGCTCTGGAAATGCTCCCTCTGAGAGGGAGCTTTGGAAATACTCACTCTGACTGTGTAGAGAGTGTTGACCTGCAAGTTCTTGATCTCCGTGTAGTTCTTGGTGGTTCTGAGGGATGACCACTCCTTGGATCCACTGCTGCTGTATTCCACCTAGGAGCACCAAAACAGGGCGTGAGGGCTCAAAAATAGAACAGGTCAGCAGAGAGACCTGTCTATCTCCATCCCAGACCTCTTTGTCTCTATCCCAGACCTGTTTGTCTCTATCCCTCTGAGATAAAATGCCAGCAGAAAGAAGCATGACATCTCAAAAAGGGAGAAATTAAGAACTCCAGGGCTGTAGTGCTGCCTACAGCATTTCTTCTCCCAACTTGCCTGATGCTCCCAGCAGATTTCCTCCCCCAAATATCCCATCCCAGGCCCACCCCCGTGCAGCTGGCTGTGTGCTGGTGTCCCCATGTCCCCAGGGCCAGCAGGACTCACGATGAATTCCCTGATGAGGCCATGGGCATTCACAGGGGGACTCCACCAGCCCAGCACCACACCCTCAGCTTCTCTCTTCAGGGACAGCTGCAGGTTCAGGGGAGCATCTGGTACTGGTGAGAGAATGAGAAATATTAGTGCCAGTCACAGTGGTGGAAAAGCAGCATCTCCCTGAAAATCAGGGCAAAGGGGTGGATGGATTTCTCCCAGTCCAGAACAATTCTATACAGGAATGTTCTGCCCGGGGAGGTGGTGGAGTCACCATCCCTGGGTGTGTTTAACAAAGCCTGGATGTGGCTCTGGGTGCCAGGGTTTAGGTGAGGTGTTGGATTTGATGATCTTGAAGCTCTCTTCCAACCTGGGGATTCGGTGATTAATTCCCAAGCCCAAGGAAAGACCTTTTTTGCTCACACCAGGGATATCTCTACTTTTCAGCCCTATGGCATTCACATTCTCTGAAAAAATTTCTCTCCTGGGAAGCTAAGAAGCCTCAGAGAAAAGGAAAACAATTCTTATCTCATTTGCTTCTCCTCTGTTTTGCTTGTGTGGAATGTGTTTGGAGATGGTTTAACCACAAGTGATTGTTTCATTGGATTTCTGGTTTGAGTTTTGACTCTTTGGCCAATCAAGACCAAGGTGTTTTTTGGCTCTGGAAAGAGTCACGAGTTTTCATTATTATCTTTTCAGGATTCAGTATCTTTTCTGTATCCTATACTATAGTATAGTATTTTTTTAGTATAATATAGTATTATAAATACAGTATTATGGTATATATATTAATAGTGTATATATAAAATATATTATTAATAAGATAATAAATAATATATACTGTAATATATAATTATATATATTCTATTAATATATATAATATATATAATATATACAATATATTGTTTATATACTATATTAATAGTATTATAGTATAATGTAGTATTCTGAGAACATGGAGATATATTACGAGAACATAATATAGTATTATAAATATAGTATTAATAGTATTACAGTGGAATATATTAATAGTATATATATTATATTATTAAGAATAATATAATGTAATTAATATATTGTAATATATGTAATAATTATATTAATTATACCAATAATATAAGATATGTAATGTATTGTAAAACATAAAAAATAAATATATAATATATTCGTATATAGTAATATATAGTAATCTAGTATATATATTAATATATATAGTATATTATATATAGTATATATAGTATTACTATATATACTATATTGTAATATAGTATATATATTAATATATTAATAGATATTTAAATATATAATGTATTAGTATTATAGTAGAATATATTAATATTATATATAACATATTATTAATAATATAACTAATATATTGTAGTATATGCAATAATTATACTGATTATAATTATAATGATCTATATATAATGTATTGTATATATATGTTATATATATAATACATTAATAGTGTTATAGTACAACATAGTATTCTGAGAACATGGAGTCAGACACACCATTCCTGCCTTGGCTGGGGCATTCCCTGCAAATACAATTCATCCCAAATCAGCACAAATCAATCCAATTTAGCGCCAATGGGGCAGGCAGTGGTGGCAGCAGCAGCTGTGCTTACGTCCTTCGGGCGCCCTCAGCGTGATGAAGTCGTTGGTGTTGTAGACCCTGCTCAGACACTGCACCTGCACCTTCACCTGGTAGCTGCAGTCGGGCTTGAGGACCTTGAGAACGCCGTTGGTTTTGTTGCTGTGGGTCTCCAGGACCTTCCAGATGCTCTCCCCGACCATCCTGAGGGACAGCGCCACACATCTCCCATCAGGATGGGCTTTTTTTACCATGGAACATATGTATTTATCCCAAAAATGGAACCATTTTAAAAGGTTGCTGCTCGTTTTGGTAGTGCCACACCAGCAATTTGAAAAGATGCCGCTGGAAAGTCTGAACTAACCTTGCCTTGGTGACTTATAAGCCCCTGAGCTTTTCTGTAACTCTTGTGCTCAAATTTATTACCTTTGTTCTTGCTGTTAATGGTCCCACAAAGACAAGTCCCAGGTGGAAAAAACAATGAATATAACAACTTTACTGTCTGAGTACATGGTCAAGGAGGAAACCAATGCAATTTGTCACCATTCCCTCTGGGTGCACCTATTTTGTGCCTCTTTTGCTACCAAATATTACATTTTTCAAGCAGAACTGGATTAAGGAGCTCTGAAGGTCTCAGACCTGATATTCTGTGGTTCTCTGCAGTAAACACAGGCACACCTGTGCTCATGCCACAACAACAGGGAGGGATGATGTACCTGTAGTAGATGTTGTAGACACAGGAGCTCGAGGACATCCTTTTTGGCCGAGCCCACGTCAGGGTGACATCCCCAGAGAAATCAGCTGTCCACTGCAGGTTCTGCACCTTGTACACGATTGTGTCATCTGAGCAGAGAAGGGGAAAAGGGAATTTACTGCAGGGAAACAAGCCAGAGATTGGGAAAAGTGAATTAACTGCAGGGCAACAAGCCCTGTGCCCAGGAGGAGCTTTGTTTGCAACACCAACCACAGGGGAGGCAGGGACAGCACTGACTGAAGGGGTGTCTGCACCCTTTAAATGAGATGTGTGATTTATCCTGGGCTCACAGAGGGCAGATCAGAGCAGGTATTTATGCCTGGTGCTCTTAGTTCTACCCAAAATGTCTTTATGCTGCACAAGGCAAGCATCCCCTTTCCCCTAAGGAAAGATAAAGTGTGGCTGTTGCTGAAATAATTGGGAATTTTGGAATTGTGTGAGTGCAAACTGCTCACTGCCACCCTTCTCCTGCTGTGATCAGTCTGTGCTGTCCCTGTCACCATCCAGGCCCTTTCTTTGTGTGTTTTCCCTTATCACATCTTGTGTTCAGGACCAAGCAAAGGCTGGTAATTCAAGTTTGGGGCTTGCCTGGACACAAACTCTGAACTGAATCACTGCCTGACCTTCACAGAGGCATTTGGGGGATAAAATCACCGTGGAACCCAGCCCTGGATGGGAGGTGCTGATCTGAAACGTCCCAAATCCGTGCCCTGCTCCCACCAGGTCACTCCCTGCTCTCTCTGTGTGCCCAAATCTCTCTGTCTCTGGAGCCCAAATCCCACTGTTGTGGTTTGGCTCTGCTGGGGTGCTCAGCTTTGGTGCAGAACAGAAACCAAGCAGAGCAGGGGCAAATTGCTGCTGTTTTGTTTTTCCCAAACAGCCAGAATTAAATCCAGCAGGCACATGGGGCCATGGACAGCATGGCAAGGCAATTTTTCCAAGGGAAAAGGAATGGTTTGGTTTTCCCTTGGTGTGGCAGCTGAGTTGTGCATCTCAGCAGCTCCTTCCCCCTCCCCTGACCCTGCCAGCCTCTCCCAATCAATATTTAATTAAAGAACTAAACCTGATTGATGGCCAGCCCCCCCAGCAGTTCTGTGGGGGAGCTGCTGAAGCTCATGGCTGGCTGGAGGCAGTGATCAATCCCTGCTATCAGGGTGGGCTCTGTCCCTCTGCCACCACAGGGCCACCAAGGGATGGCAGCAGGCATGTGCCACATCCCCAGGGTCACCCTGCAAAGCAGGGCAGAGCAGGAGACTCATTTCACCTGTGGGCTGTGTAAAATTGCCAGTTTTGCTCCTATCCATCCTAAAATGATTTTATTTTTTTTTCCTGTCTCTGAGGCTGCTGGAAGACAAATTGTCAGTGCAGAAGCTGCTGGGAAGTTTGTTCCAGCTGGTGATAAATGGGTGAGGAGGCAGCTTGGACAACAGAGGCAGATAAATCAAGGGTGTTGGGAGGGAAATACCACACATCCAGGAGAGCAGATCTTTGCAGGGAGTGAGGGGTGGGAGATGGGATGCTGCTCACCTGTGCAGTTCCTCTCATCGCTGCTGTCTGAGCAGTCCAGGTACCCATCACAGCGCTCCGGCAGCAGGATGCAGGCCTCCCCATCCTCACACCTGAAGCCATTAGGGCAGGACAGGCTGCTTGGAGTGGCTGAAAGAGGCACAACAGTTCAGGACTGCAGGCAGGGAAGCTCCCTCGGCAGCACTGGAATGTTTGCAGGTGGCTGCATGTCAGGGATGGAGCTCAGCCTGGTGTGGCACACTCTGGGGTGTGGCACACTCTGGGTTGTCTCCTGCTGCCTGCACCTTCAGAACAACCAGGAGCTCATCCCATGAAAAACAATAATTGGACTTGTAATGGGAATAGCACCCCCCTTGGGCTTTTTATCTTTTTTTTATTATTTTTTTTTTTTTCTGTAAAGGATTTCTGTTTTCTGTAAAGAATTTTTTTCCTCAGAGGCTTCCCTGCCCTCACTACTCTTGGGTTCTCTAGCTGCTCAGAGTGACTCTGAGATATTTCAGAAAGTCTCTTTTCTCAGCTCAGCACTCGAAGGAGTCGGAGCTCTTCAGTTCTCATTCTCAAGGTTATTTATTGTTTCTTATCTATAAATTTTTTTCTCCTGTCCAGCTTAAGTCCACTCAGCAAGACAGTCAGAGGCACTCTGACACCCTCAGGGCAGTGTTATCTTTTTATACTAAAAACTACCTGTACAATATTTACCATAACTTCCCAATACCCATCACCTATGTCAGACAGTGAGCTTCTACTCTAAACCAATCCAAAAGTGCCACCAGCACAGCAGAAGATGGAGGCCAAGAAAAAGAAGGAGAAAGGCTGGACATGCCCAGATTCCTCCATCTTGGCCCCTGAACTCACATTCTAAAAACCCCAAAAATCTATTTTTTCACCCCATGATAAATTCACTATCATTCTACTTAAACTGTCATGGCTTGCAATCCTTCATATAAGATTGGTAATTGTTTTTTTTCCAAGGGCTCAATGAAAGTCACAGGGGTCTGGGGCTCTGTGCCAGGGTCTCTGAGCCCCCTGGGCAGGGGTTTGGGCACTCCAGGACACACGGGGAGCTCTGCAGGGGAAAGCTGCAGGTGTGCCCCTGTCCCTGCCCGCACTCACGGCAGCTCCTCTCGTCGGTGCCGTCCTGGCAGTCCCTGACTCCATCACACCTCTTCCAGTTGGGGATGCACTTGTGCAGCTGCTGGCACTCGAACTCGAAGCGGCTGCAGCGCCCCGGCAGCGCGGGGGACGTGGCTGTCGCGTTGGGTCCTGCATGCAGAGACAGAGACAGGAGAGCTCCAGGGCTGGCACCGCCACCAGCAGCGAGCAGCGCTGTCCCCAAGTCCCGACTCCACTAGATGGCAACCTCCTTCCATCAGCAGGTGATGGGGATGACGCCTTGGCCATCCTCTCTCTGACTGCAGAGGGCTGGAAAAGCCTCTGCTCTGCAGGGAATGTGTAGCCATGATATTTTCTGAAAAATCCCTTTCCTTAGGATTTTTTTCCTCCTGAGAAGCTGGGAGGCCCCAGGAACACAATGTAAACAATGGTTATCTGCTGCTGTGGAATGCAACAGGGGCATCTGTGATTGGTCTCGTGTGGTTGTTGCTAGTTAATGGCCAATCACAGCTCAGCTGTCTTGGACTGTCTGGTCAGTCACAAGATTTTGTTATCATTCCATTCTCTGGTGAAATTCTTTCTTCTATTCTTTTAGTATAGTTTTAATATAATATATGTCATAAATAATAAGTTAGCCTTCAGAAACATGGAGTCAGAGTCTCTTCCCTCTTCCTGGGACCCCTGTGAACACCACCACAGGAATGTGCTGCTCTGGAGCATTGTCCCACCTGGTGGCACTGCTGCAGGGTGACCCCAGAGCCAGGGGACATTTCACACCACAAATAAACCCTCAATTCCAGCCTAATCAAAGCCTACCTAGGATCATTCGCCCTATCCATCCTCATCATCCTCATATCCACATACAGAAACAACCAATGGCCCTCAATCTTCGTAAAAACCACCAAATCCTGAAAATCATCCACGACGCCTTAATTGACCTCAAATATCTCAACATGATGGAACTGATGTGATCTGGGAGAAGGGAAGGGGTGAGGAAGAGGAGGGCTTACTTGGGGTGGGACAGGCCTCTTCATCAGAGCCATCGGAGCAGTCCTTGTAGCCGTCACACACCCAGCTGTTCATGATGCAGGCGCCGCTGTTGCAGCGGAAATGGTTGGGCAGGCACGTCGGGGGGATCAGCGTGGTAATGGGATGAACTGGAGAGCCTAAAAATACACCAGGGACAGCTGAGCTGAGCTCCTGCTCCGGTGTAAGCTCCCTGCTGGCCGAGGGGGAGGCAGGTGAGGCATCACACACCCGGTGTTTTCACCTGCATGGTTTCTGTGCTCAGGATATCCAAAAATACAGAGTAAAAGGTGCATGAAAGTGCCCTCATGGGGCATTCTGGGGGCTGTGGGGAGGCAGAGTGATCCCTCAGCAGTCCCTGTCATGCCTGTGTCAGTGTGTCCTTACCCTCGCAGTCCCTCTCATCAGACCAGTCCCCGCAGTCGTTCTCCTGGTCGCACTTCCAGCGGTTGGGGATGCAGTGCCCGTTCCCACACTGGAACTGGTAATACCGGGAGCAGTTCGGGGCTTCTGTCGGGTTTTCTGGCGAGGACAGGAGAGTCCTGTGAGCCACAGGGGCACCTCAGCACAGCTCAGAGGTGGGAGCGCCTCAGGGAGCATCACCTGAGCAGCACAGGCACGTTCCTTCCTCTTCATCCCCCGCATTCCCATCCCTCCCAGCCCTCACTCTGTTGCTACCACGGCTTTGTCTGTGTTCTTTGTGGCCAGACACTGTCTCAGACAACTTTTATAAAAAATCCTTTCCTTAGAATTTTTCCCCTTGAGAAGCTGAGAAGCCTCAGGAACAAAATGTAAACAATGGTTATCTGCTGCTGTGGAATGCAACAGGTGCATCTGGGATTGGTCTCATGTGGATGTTTGGAATTAATGGCCAATCACAGCTGGCTCAGACTCTGTCTGAGACCAAACCTTTGTTATTCATTCCTTTCTATTCTTAGCTTAGCCAGCCTTCTGAGGAGAACCTTTTCCTCTATTCCTTTAGTATAGTTTTAATGTAATATATATCATAAAATAATAAATCAGCCTTTTGAAACATGGAGTCAACACTCTCGTCTCTTCCCTCATCCTCAGACCCCTGTGAACACGGTCACAAGACACCACCCCAATCTCAGAACCAGAGCAGGATCCACCAGAGCATGGCAGAAATGGAGGAGCAAACCCTGCAGCTCCGAAATGAGGCTGCAGCTGCCTCGCCTGGCTGGGTACAGCTCCTGCAACCACCCAGGGAACAGTGGTAAATATTGGGTTTGGCTGCAAACTGCCTGTCTGCTCAGGGCTGGCAGGCTGTGCAGTAAATATGGTCACAGAGGAGTCAGTCAAGCACAAGATGCGCCAGGTTTTCTGCAGGCTTCACTTCACCTGCCTGCAGCAGGAGGGAAACGACACCGATCTGCAGGTAGGACAGGCTGTGATCCACTACACTCACACAAGAGTGAGAACATGAGGAAGACACTGCTCCATGCCCCTGAAATCCAAAGGAAGCTGGAGCTCTGGGGGTGCTGCTCACCACAGTTTGCCTCGTCAGAGTAGTCACCACAGTCATCCATCCCGTCACACTTCCACACCAGGCTGATGCACACCCCATTCTGGCACTGGAAGCTGAACTGGTCACAGGTGCGGTGGAACTCGGGGTCCTGGGCTGCAGGGAGAGGTTGGGTGTAAAGATCAGGGGCTTCAGGAAAGCTTGAGCAGGAAGAAACAAGCCTGGATTTCTAAGCTGCTCTAGAGCCATCTCTTAGGAGAGATGGCATTCCTGGTAGCCTGGCTCTGCCCAGGGCTCTGTTTCCATGCTGTGCCCACCCTCTCTTGGCAGAAGTGTGACATTTGTGACACTGAGAGCACCCAGCATCCCTGGCACCCCTGGCTCATCCCAGGGCTCTGTTTCCATGCTGTGCCCACCCCTCTTTGGCAGAGGTGTGACACAGCACTCAGAGCTGGCATCCCTGGTACCCTAGCTCACCCAGGGCTCTGTTTCCATGCTGTGCCCAGCCTCCCCTGGGCATTTGTGACACTCAAAGCACCCAGCATAGCTGGCATCCCTGGTAGCCCACCCACAGCTCTGTTTCCATGCTGTGCCCACCCTCCCATGGGCATTTGTGACATTTGTGACACCCACAGCAGCCAGCATAGCTGGCATCTCTGGTACTCTGGCTCTCCCCACAGCTCTGTTTCCATGCTGTGCCCACCCTCCCCTGGGCATTTGTGACATTGGTGACACTCACAGCACCCGTAGCTGGCATCCCTTGTACCCTGGCTCACCCCAGGGCTCTGTTTCCATGCTGTGCCCACCCTCCCTTGGCAGAAGTGTGACACTGGTGACACTCACAGCAGCCAGCATAGGCGGCGTCCTCGTCGGAGCCGTCGCGGCACTGGACGACGCCGTCGCACACCATGGAGTGGAACAGGCACTGCTGCCGGTTCTTGCACACAAAATCCATGTAGCGGGTGCACAGGGGCTCTGCAGGGACAGGGCAGGACAGGGGGACAGGGCTGGCACCTCTGCTGTCCTTGCACACAGCAGTGTCACCCGCCAGGGGCTGTGCGGGTCTGAGGGAGGGTTTTGGGGATTTACAGAGAGTTCCTGACACAAATGGTCTGAGCTGTGTCCCTGATCCTCACCAGATCTGCCCTCTGGGCACAGGCACCAGGAGGGGTTTGGTGCCTCCCTGGCACTGTCCCCCAGGCTGTGCCTTTTGCTGACCTGCTGATTTCACAGCGGGCCCATGACTGCCCATTATCTCCCAGGGCTTTACTCCCAGTGCAGTAAAGCTGCTTTGCTCTCATTTCTGGCTTGGGCAGAGCAGAAAACAAATGCAGCCTTGCTTTTTTACCAGCAGAAAGCCAGTTCAGACAGCACCTCATATGCCTAAACTACATATTTTAGATTTTCTGGATAAAATAAGACAAACCCCTGACTTTCTGAAACCTTTTCAAAAATTACTTTTTGAAAGCAAAGCCTGGGTTTTCCCTGCGCCCGGTACCCACCGCAGTGCTGCTCGTCCGAGGCGTCGGAGCAGTCGCTGATGCCATCACAGTGCTTGCTGGTGGGGATGCAGGTGCCATTGGGGCACTGGAAGCCGTTGCACTTCTTCTCTGAAAGGCAGAATTGGGTGGATGTTGTGCGTTTTTGGGGGTTTTGTTAAAGTTGTTTTAATCAGCTAAAAAAGAGCCAGGGTGTCTGTGGTATTCACATGCCCTCTGAGACAAGCAGAGAAGAAGGGAAACACAATTCTTATCTCGCGTGCTGTGCTTGTGTTGTGCTAAAGCAGAATTCAAGAAGGACATTGTTTAACCAAAGTGAGGTTGTTTTGCTCCTTTGGCCTACCAGGGCCGACAAGTGTG